GAAGATGGCTTCAAGTTTCTATGAGTGGTAAATTGTGGGAACGCAAATAAAATATATGGAAAATTAGTGGAAAGTAAGGGCTAATAAAGTTTACTATATAGATTCCTTGGGACTGATAAGGATCTATAGTTGTCTCCAATGATTAACTTTTGTCCTTCCTGGTAGAAGAAAGGGGACATTTATGTCCTGTTTTTAGGTAAATGGGGGAGGGTGTAGAGCTTTTCTTGTATCTGCTTCTTCTCAATTGCCTTCAGCTCAAAATAATCCTTATGTCAAAGTGGCATATTTGGGGGGGGGATGGCATATTCTGTCACCTATATCATCATGGGCTTCTGCAGGCCTCGCCAAAGACCTTCAATTTAAGGTTTCTTGTTGAGGTGGATTTCTATCTGAAGTAAGGCTTTTTTTTTTTTTTTTTTTTTTTTTTTTTTTTTAGTTGTGAAATGTGAACCCAAGGTTGTATTCTTTGTTTTGGAGCAATTTTGGTGGAAAGGCAGAAAGTGTATTTTGGTTGAGGACCACCCCGCCAAAGTGTGTCTACCCCTTTCATATATAAAAAAGGGGAAAGTTGTCAGTAACTAGGGACTCTAACAGTGTGAGAAGATGGAGAGGATTTAAGGTTTTGAGTTGCAGGCACAGAATCCAATCAAGGAGGTCAGGGACATCTCTTTAGTCATGAGGTATAAGGGAAAGGCAGTGGCAGAAAAGTTAGGGCATGGATTCTGGTGATAGTCAACTAATTATAGAAATCCTTGGAGTCGTCTTTTGGTGTTGGGGAGAGGGAAATTGATAATGGTGTTAATTTTTTTTAGAAATAGAGTCTCTATTTCAGGGAGGATATCATGAGCTAACACTTACGGGCTGTTGTTTGATGTTTAGAGATGTTGTGTCCCTTTTGGGCAAGAGCTTGAAGCCCAATTACTTAAAATACTTAAAACAGAGAAATGGACTGAAGTCTGAGACAGAAATAAAGCCCATCAGGGTAGAACCTTATCGCTGTAACACAGCTAACATTTGGGATGAGAGAGAGAAAAAAAGGAGAGAGAGAAGGTTTAGTCTGAGGGTTTGTAAGGAGGCTACTGAGGACACCTCAACCTCCCAGTAGACAATATTCCATTTAGCCCAAGGCAGACCTTCATCCCGCTTGTGTCTGTTCCCCTGATGGCTGTCACCCAGCCTTGCAATGAGAACTATTGCTCAGTAAGGTCTGCATCCTCTGAGTATTGACCCTGTGGTAGTCGCTGGTTAGATGGATTATACAAAGGTGAAAATGACCATCTGCATTTAAGAGCACTTTCCAACGGGGAGACAGGCAGGTAAACAATAAATAAAAGTTATTATTATAAAAAAATAAATTCAGTGACATAAGGATTGTTTAATACCTCCACACAGAGGATCCCCAAGTAGGATCAAGGAATTTTCTGGAGGGTTAGAGTTTTCCCAGATGTGACAAGTGAGCAGGACTCTGCAGACGAGCAGCCAGAGAAAGCAGGAAAGGACATGGAACCAAGAAAACAGTAAGAGAAAGGTTCAGAGGACACAGTACATGCATTTCCCCTCCCTTCCCTCACCCCTCCCTTGCTACTGATTCTGAGATATCTTGCGTGGAGGGGGGTGAAAATGTTGAGTGCCTAGAATGTAGGTGGGGTTCAGAGTCCTGCAAAGTGAGGATGGAAGAACAGGTTGGGCCTGGTTGTAAAGGGCCTCACATGCCAATTAGCAGTTTACCACACATGGAGTGCTGCTCCCTCAAAGTTCAGGGGATAAAATCTTGCAGAAAGAGAACTCCAGCAGTGGTGGAAGGGGGAGGTAAGAATGATGAGATGCTGTATCTAACGTGAAGCCATTATAGCAGGTCTGATAAGAGATGACTAGTCTTAGAAATAGGCTGAGGTCAGACATTTCCCAGTAGGACTGGTGGAATCTGATGGCCCGTGGAACTCTCTGGGAGGAGCGCGGTGGTGGTGTGGGGGTGTGGATTTTATAGCCAGAATGGACAAGTTCAGTCTGATGCTGGCATTCACTAGCTCTGTGACCCTGAGCCAGGAACAGACACATTCAAAGTTCAGGTCTCTTCTGTAAAAATGGGCATAAGGCCATTTACCTTTTTTTTTTCGGCCAAGATTGAACGACACAACGTATATGAACCTAAGTTTTGGCACAAAATAAGTAGTCCATGGTTCGAGTGCCCTTCAGCAGGTGTTCAGTGCCTCCCACAGTTTGTTTCCTGTGCATCTTTCTAGGGAAAGTCTTACCTCCTGTACCCCTTCCCCCCCTCCAAAAATGGTAGGACTATTTACTGTTTCTCAGACATGGCCTGTTCTCTCTCGTCCCTGTCTTTGCTTGTGCTATTTCTTTTCTTGGAATATCCTTCCCCTCCTCAGTTCTCATTGTTCTCTAGGGCAGTCCATTCACCTTAAAGGCTCTGCTTCAAATTGTACCTCTTCTCAGAACACATTCTCAGTTTTCCCACGTGGAAATTATCTTTCCTTCCAAAGCATTCTATTGGAACCATTCTAATGACCTGTACACTATATTGCACTTTACCTGGCTATTTTAGGTAAATATTTTCTCTCTTCTAGGCAGCATCTAGTTAATTTTTCCAGTCACTGTAGTATTTAATTCAGTGTATGGTGTTATCAAAAGTAGACATTTGGGTTGCGTAAGTGGCTCAGTTGGTTAAGCGTCTGCCTTCGGCTCAGGTCATGATCCCAGGATCCTGGAATTGAGTCCCACATCAAGGCTCCCTGCTCAGCAGGGGGCCAACTTCACCCTCGGCCTGGCCTGCCACTCCTCTTGCTTATGCTCTCTCTGACAAATAAATAAATAAAATCTTTTTTTAAAAAAGTAGACATTTTATAGATTAATATGATTGACTTGGGTAGAAAAGAGAACAGTCAAGGAAATACTAGCTATGAGGACACGAGGAAGATGGTATGTGTCCTTGCTAATAAGAAAACCAGTGAGAGGTACTGCTGCCAATCCTAATTTTATTACCCCCATTTCTAGTTCTGCCTTTGTAAATCACAGTTCCTCTACGGCATCTAAGTGTGGCAAAATTCAATGTATAAGGCCAGTAAATAGTGTTTCAGACAACACAATCCTACTAGTATACTAAGTTTTCGGTTGGTTCGTAGGTTTGACCTGTTTTGTGAGCTATAGACTTAACTTAGATGAGCGGCAAAGACAGTATTTGCTCTAGTTCTTCAGTGTTATTTCTGTAAGAAAAATACATAGCATAAATATTATATATATTTAAGTATATAAGTATATTATATATTGTATAAAAATACTTAATATTTATAATATATGTTTAATATATTAATATATTAATGTTAATTACTAATATATTTAACACATAAACATATTAAAATACATAATATAAATATAAAATCACAATCTAGGCTAACCGCAGATTGTTTCAAAATTAAATTATTTGATTAAGTAGCAAACTCTTTTTTCACTTAGAAGTTTTAACTTAGTAAATCTGCATGGCTTAGTTTCATGAAATTAGTTCATGGTCCCTTTAAGCATAGCAAAAGACACCAGAGGAAGATGGTGTTGAACTCAGCAGCCTGGAAAACCAGCCTGTAATGAAAACTTACAGAGGAAAAATTAGCATTTGTGTAATGTACCCAAGTCAATCTTATTAACCAATAAAACTTAACAAATGTGATGTTTTTCTTAAACTTATCTGTAAAGAAAAGCAATTATTGCAAATAAATGCCTAATATTTATATTGTATTTAAAAACGAAAAAGAAACAGGAATTGTTTACGTAAAAGATCTTTATTTTCTTTTGAGAAATATTAAAACAAATAAATTATTGTGCAGTTCACTAACACAATGAGCGCATGTTAGCGTTAACCTTATAAATAAGAGGCACTTCTGGCACAATCATGGTAAACTAATAGAGACAATTTGATAGTTATTTATCTTACACCTTATAAAATTGCTCATTTCACATTGTTCTTTCAGTTTGCTTCAAAGAATTGTTGCATTTAAAAAAAGTCAAAGTCCCATCATGAAATGATTGACGTATTTTCATTTTTTTTTACTGTTAATAACATCGCCAGTGAATCACATCTAAGACACCTTTTTAAATATTACCCTTTATTTGTGCACTTCACAGTATCATAAGAAAGTGTTTTAAGTACCCAAACGTAAATGAAGTGGAACTCAGATATATAAACCTCCTTTACAGGGGAATAAAAGTTGGGTAAACCAGAGCTTTTTTGTTTTTATTGTTTATTCTTTTTCAATGATTTTATTGTGCTATTATTTCTAATTAAACAATTTTGTGAATTATATGATTTTTAAGTGAAGGTACAAAATTTTTTATAATTTTTTTATAGTTTTTATAGAAAACAAGCACGATGTAATTTTTTTAGAAAATTTTTTAGAAAACAAGCATGATGTAATTTTTTAATAAAAATTTTTTAGAAAACAAGCATGATGTAATTTTTTAATAAAAATTATAATGTAAAGTTAGCTTCCCAATGCCAAATCAAAATTAAATATGTTCTCTAAAGAACATTCACAAGTGCTCTCAATTTTTTCATAGACAGAGAATCACAAGTATCGGCTCACCTGATTAGAATAATTTTCTTATAAAGAAAAACGCCCTTCATATATCCTTTCACAAAGATGCCATTGTATGATTAATGTTGAAACCCAACTAAGCTAAACAATATTTAACAAATTTTGCACCCTGTGTTTTTTTTAATCTTAAAATTAAAAAATTATGAAACACTATAAAAAGTCATAAACTGAAATCTATATTGACATTGTATCTTTCTTAATAAGCAAAATATTCTTTGACATAAACTATAATGGAAACATCACATTTTAACTACTGTTTTTTTAAAGTACACATGAATTATAGAATTTGGCTAGAATATTCTGATATGTAGTAAACGTAGAATTATTTCATATATAATCTGAAATGTTCCAGGTATAACTGACAGTGATTTTTTAAATGTAAACATTTCCTTTCCTTTGTGTAGTTGTGTTATTGTTCAATTAAAAATAGAGTCATGTATGTATGACAATTAAATATTATTCCATTTCTAATTCTCTATGTAGTCATGATAAGAATAACCAAAAACTGATGTCAGAATTACATTCTTGATTTATTTGAAAATGCAGGGAAAGTATTTAAAAACTATCAGCTATGCCTGAAATATTTCCTAAATTATTTTTGATTATCAATTGTAGCAACATGAGTAATTTCATGAAGACCTCTAGATGCTACATATAATACTTTATGGTGCACAGACTCTTTAATCAAAAGTTTCTGTTGTGCACATGTGCTGAAATAGAACTTCCCTGAGATGAACTATCTTGCTGGCCCATAGAAAAAACTCCATAAAACTGTATTCAGATTTTAATCTGAATTATAATCTAATCTGACATTCACCCAAGATGGGTATTAATAGATTTTTATCATCAGTTGATTTGTACTAATACTTCTTTTCTGTGGACTATTTATACATTTATTACTCAACCAATGTAGTCAGATAACTTGTTGAAAATGAAACTTCAGAAACAGCTACTTTAGGAGATAATTTCAAGTATAAAAATCAGGAATCCTTTCTATGCTTTTAAGGTATACAAACATTTAACTACTTGAAAGATAAAGAAAGTGCATTTAAAAAGTCAAGAAGTTTCCCAAATATCCATGTTGCTCATGTCAGAAGAGTTTTACAATTTAAAAGATCAATCAGACAAGTGTTAATTAGCTTAAAGGATTTTTTTCTTTCATTCATATAACCAGGTAGGATCTCACTCAAGTATTTGTAATTAGGAAGTCATTCACATTAAATAACTTCTTCTCACTGATTGATCTGTGAGATGCTGCTGAGATAATTTTCAGACTTCATTATAAAATTTGTCCACTCCTGACAAATGTCTTCCATGGAGAATTCTGCACCACCATATTCCAGAGGAAGAATGTCTGGGAAATGCTGAAGTAAGCTTTGTTTGTAATTGTCCCCATGCATGTGAATCTGAAATAGCCAAAATGTTTTAGAAGATATGCCCTCAGTCTCTCATTAGATTACATATATTTCAAATGTAAAATCAACACCATAAAATAAGGTATTCTAATAACTTTCAAGATAGGAGAGCATGTATAAATGCTATGCCCTTTATTTCTCTGCTTATGGAAGAAATATGCTTAAATTTCTATTGTGCTGCTTAGGAGTCTAACCATCTTGGTTTTTTTATATGTATTTGTATTTGCATATATAAGATTTATTAAAAGATATTCTGTCCTCTTTCAAAAATAGATTTTTAAAACTCTAAATAAAATCATTTTATACATTCTATTCCCTAATGTACAGGTGATTCTTAGTAAAATATCTGTTCTAGAGATGATAAAACTATACTACCTGGTATTAGTTCATATGAATTAGAAGCATTTATCAGTGCACACAGCTATGTATATGGGGAGTATTTTACGTGGTACAGTTGATATATACTCTTGGCTAGGACAGAATTAAGAGACAATTGTTGATGGTTGAGTACCTTAAGTTTTTAAATACTTAAACTATAAAAAGTGACCATATGATGCTATGAAATTAAAATAAAGACTTAGATCCGTCAATTAAAAGCACATCTTGCTAAAAATAAGTCCCTTTTTCCACCTGGGTAAACTGTTCATCTATACAGTTAATGATCATTTAAAAGCAGCTACTATATGCTAGGATATGAGAACTGAAAAATGAAAGAAACAAGTTTCCTATACTCGGGAACCTCACAGTTCCAATTCTTGATTTCTTCTGAAATGTTTAAAATATCATCAGCTAATGAAAATTCTATGATTTCCTCAGAAGGGGGCAAATAAAACATTCACAGGATAGTGCCAAAAAGTTGAAAGGAAGGAGAATGGCTTGATTGGGTCCCCATCTCTCTTACTTTGGCAAGTCTGTTTCATGTCAATTACCTTTCCCTGAAATACTTCACCTACCTTCTCAATTTTTAAATTTTTCTTTCTTTTTTGCTCATATTCTCCTACTTATTAGGTTCAGTTTTTTGGTTTTGTTTTTATTTGTCCAGAATACAACCCAAAATAGAAATACTTATTTTTAGATCTTTCAGAGTTAAACAAAATGTGTCAGCTATTATCAATCTGCACTGAGGGAAGACAAAAATGAGCCCCCCAAAATTGACTTTTCTAAAAATCTAACATGAAAAGTGGCCTTCTTCACAGGTGTGGTTCTTCTTGAATACAGATAGAAATACCTACTGGGTAACTCTACAAATTATCTTTTATAGAGTAATGTAGAAAAGTGGTTGCCATTCTTGGGAATTTAAATTTTATTTTTAATACTTGAAAAATCCTAAGAGATATTAGATATTCACCTGAAATAAGGCTCCACAAGCTTTGCTTTAATTAATGTGACATTAAGTCACTTACCTTGGGTACTGTGGTTTTCAGTTATGCATGTCTAATTTAAATACATTTTTTATTTGCACATATAATACATTCATATAGCTATAAATCAATACAAGATAAAAGATAAACAATGAAATGTCTTGGTCCCTACTCAAAACTCATCAACACCTCTACTCTATTACATATAGTTAGGTTGCTTTCTTGGATATCCATTCAGTGCAAATATAACTAGAGATTCTAACTTCTCCCCTTTTTATACATAAGGTAGCATACCATAAAAACTGTTCTTCCTTTTTTTATTTCACTTTACAAGCCATCATGAAAATCTTACTGTATTCCATTGTGTTGATTTATCTGTTTATTTAACAAGTTCCCTAATGACGAACACTTGGTGGTTTCTAGTCTTTTGCTGCAATGAATCCTCTTGTATCTGTAATTTTTGTTTACATGCTTGTATAGCCCTGGGATAAAATCCCAGAAGTGCAAAAGCTGTAATTTGGTAACTATTAGCACACTGCCCTTTATAGGGAATAGACCGTTTTGCACTTTCACCTCAATGAATGAGAGGTTGTTTCCCCCCAACAGCCTAACTTAATTTTTCAAAATTAAAAAGGAATTTTAATTTATAAAAATGGTTTGTTAGATAAATACTTAAAACACTGGGGAGGGGACGTAATAATTCAATTCTTAAATAAGAAGGATTGGAACATTTGGTACAGAAGAATAATGACTTGAATATGTTTTACTTACCCGTTCCTTAATTTTTTCGGTCAGGAATGGTTTAATCATGGAAAAGACAGCATGGAAAATTATTGGCTCATTTATCAAATGGATACCACGAACTTTTAATGGAAAGGAATCCTTTTGAAAATAAAGAAAAAAATTGCTAATAACAAAGCATAAATCAATATATATTCCTATTGACCAGTCCCTTCTCTAAACACTTGCTGCACTTAGTGCAGTACCTAAAGTGGGATTTTATTTTCAGAATTATTTATTCCAGCAACACAATAGCCTACTTTGCAGTTCACAGTCACAAGATTAAGGAAAGATCTCTAAAAAAAGGTTTCACCTTATAGCTTAGGCATAGTATTTTAAGAAACACTTGCATCTTTGTAAGTAAAACACAGAAAATATATTCTCCAATCACATATAAATGTTCTTTCAAAGAACCAATGAGTCATTTGGACATTTATATTTAACAAATTTCCCCTAATTTTTATTTTGGGTAAAAAATTAAAATTTCATGGAAGCTGAAGGAATAGTAAACACACACTTTTAAACTTTTGGCACAGGTATAGGTCTGTCACATCAAAGTAATATTGATTTATTTAGAAACTTTAAAAAGTTAAGAGTTTAAAAAAAAAAAGCACATCATCAAAAGTTTTCTTATCCCAAATGTGTTAACATACAGATTTCTCCTGCCAAATTTCTTTCATGCAAAATTCTTTTTTTTCCCCCTATGCATAGCTTTTACAGATGTGTTATCAATTTGGAGATTATCCTTCCAGGTTCTTTCTATGAATAATTTTATTTTAAACATAACTGCCAATATGCTTTCTAAATAATTTTCATCCTGTTTTGTTTCAGTAACATAATACAATTTTTGTACATACCATGAGTTTTATTTGTTTAATTGACAGAGAGAGAGCACAAGTAAGCACAACTGCAGGCAGAGGGAGAGAGAGAAGCAGGCTCTCTGCTGAGCAGGGAGCCTGATGTGGGGCTCAATCCCAGGACCCTGGAATCATGACCTGAGCTGAAGGCAGCCGTTTAACCAACTGAGCCACCCAGTCGCCTCCATATCATAAGTTTTAATATTATTGTGATAATCTATCAAATGGATATACCATAATTTTCCTATTTCTGGACAAATAAGCTATTTCTAATTTTCATCTATAAAAATTGATGCTATAAGTAACCATATTTACCTGAGCCAATTGTGGTTATAAACACAACTCTTACACTCAGATGACCTGACCTGAATTCTTGATTCACTACAAAATGTGTGTGTTTAGGCATTGCTATGTCATCCCTCTGACATAGTTAATCTGTAAAATGGAAAAAATAATAGCCATAGGCTTGTTTGGCCATTAAATGGTAATGCACTTGAGATACTTAGTGAAGTACCTGGCCCATAGTCAGCTACTATTGTCATTATATATGAAGTCTTTACTGTGTTTCAGATTATTCGCTGGTTAGGTCCCTGAAAGTAGATCTGGATCACTACTGGATCAAAGATGATGGTCATCTTAAAAAAAACCTTTTAATTTCTGAAAGAACTATATGAATTTATACCTACCAAGAAATGTAACATTTTATTGTACCATAGCTATAAATATTGTTTTGAGTCAATCTTTTAATTTAGGAAGAAAATTTAAGTAATAGAAAGAGAAAGTTACCATGTTATTATTTAAATGCATAAATTATTTGGCTACTAATTTTGAACATATTTTCAGTTTCTTGCAACATTCTTTTATGAATTAATAATACTTTACTTTCTCAACAATTATGATATGATCTCTCTGATATGAGGCAGGGTGGAGGGGTTGTGGGGGATAGGGAAGGAAAAAATGAAACAAGATGGGATTAGGGAGGGAGACAAACCATGAGAGATTCTTAATCTCACAAAACAGAGGGTTACTGGGGCGAGGGGGTAGGGAGAGGATGGTTGGGTTATGGACATTTGGGAGGGTATGTTCTATGGTGAGTGCTGTGAGTTGTGTAAGACTGATGATTCCCAGACCTGTACCCCTGAAGCAAATAATGCATATGTTAATTTAAAAAAAAAAAAAACAACACTTTACTTTCTCTTAGCATTACTGAATTCTGTGTATCATTTTTAAATTATTTAATTTTCTAATAAATGTATTATTCTCTTGCTTTGTTGAATATATAACTAAATTTAAATCTACTATTTGGAATTAGTATCCCAAAGAGTTAAAATATACACTTACTGTAAGAACAGCAGCAATCTTCTTGGCTACGGATGGGGTAATTTGAAAAGCATGAGAAAACTGCCAGCCTTCTAGATCAAAGATAGCCTTGATACCATTCTGCTGAGTTTCTACCTCCTGTACAATAAGCTCGGATGTGATTAGACTTACACGGAAAACATCATAAGCTGTGAAAACTTTTGGGTCCCACTGTGCTAAAAAAAAAAAAAATTAGAAATAACATATCTCAGTATAGTGTAAAGGTTCAGGAAGATTTACAATGGGAAACTAACTCTTTTGAGACTTAAAAGATCAGTAGAAATAAAAACATGTACAAAGATCATGGATTGAATAGTGGATTAAATTGGTGGTCCAAAACCATGTTCCTGCTTTTCCCTCCATCCTCAGATCCCTAGCGAAGAACAGATTTGTAAGAGCATCAGGGAGAAGAGATAGAATGCAGACTGGATTTGATTGCCAGATGAAGCTACAGCCCAAAACATTCAGGAGAGGGTTGTGGCTAAAGATGAAAATGTCCCCAGGTATGCTCCCAGCTCAGAGGTGTTAGAAATGGGAAAAGCAGGGGCTTTGAGATGATAAAGGATTATAAAGAGTAACTAGGGCCCTATAGTAACCAAAGAGGTTGCTAAGGGAAATGGTTGAAGAACAAATGGGCAGGCTCATGTGTCAGACACCCCTCCGTGGCAGTAGCACATAGCTGCCATGTCTGTACAGGCCAGAACAGTAAGTGTGGGCTTTGGAAAAGAGCCAGGGAAGCACTCCCATAGCGGCCCATACCCAGGAGAAACAACAAAAGATTAGTGTCATTCCTGTCGTCTCCCCTCCCCCCAGCATCCCTGGACAGGCCAGGGCAAGCAGAAATGACAGGAATGGACAGGCAAACAGGTGATCTTAAAAGAAGATACACATGCACTAAGTATTATAACATTTTAAAAATTACAAAAAAGTGGGGAATTGCACTCAAAAAAGGTGCTAAAACCTAAGAGAACAGTTAATACAGCAAGAGACATTAAAAAGAAGCAAAATAGTTTCAGTGAGGGAAGAAAAAGGTAATGTAGGCTATTATTATAAGAACTGGTTATTATTTAAAAGAATCAGTTGAGATTTTGGAAATAAAAAGATGATAATTCAAGCAAATCTCAGTCAATGGGACAAACCCAGAAAAGACATAACCCATGATTGCGTAATGGTTTGGAATACCAAGCTGAGGAATTCTCTGAAAAGAGCCAGGAGTTGGTAAGTATGCATCAAAAGACTCATGCAGCTAGAGACATGTAGAAATCAGAGTTTCAACATCCAAATAATTAGAGTTCTGAAAGGTAATAATGCAGAGAATAGGGAAGAGGGGAAAGAGGAATAACAGTAGAGAAAAATGTTCCAGAGCTGAAAAAAAATGCAAGTCTTCATGCTGGAGATTCCAAGGAGTGCCTAAGAAGAAAATGTGAAAGGGTGGGGAAAAAAAAAAAAAAGATTCATGATTAAGTAATGGTAAAGTTTCAAAATACCAAAGTTTCTGGCTTGGACAACTGGGTAGAATGGTGGTACCACTTACTGAGATAGGAAACAGTGGAAGAGAAATGTTTTGGGAGGAAAAGATCGTAAGTAGTTTTGGACATGTAAAAATGGTGACTGAGAGATACCCAGTTGGACACAGTTGGTATAGGGTGCTGCTCGTATGGATCCCTGGGGACAGGAGATGGTGGGGTGAAAACAGAAATCTGAGAGTTGTTTGTGCTTGTATGACAGCCTGCGACTGGGTTTATTTTAGGTCTATATAGAAAGTAGCACGAGAAGAGGAAGCTGAGACCAGTGCGGGAAAGAATTTCAGAATTGCAATGGTGGTAGAACAGGTGACGCCGACAAAGGAGACTCTGACCCTTAATAGATTTAAATGTTGTTGGGGAGTGTCTACCAGTAAGGAAAAAATTGAACATAGAAAAGAATCAGAAGTATTCCCAGAATCAGAAGTATTCCCAGAAAGGCACAATGGGTTTGCCCTTTGCTTTTTAAGAGCGTCAGCTGCCTCGTAAAAATTTGAGTAATCAATTCATGGATAACACAGCTCAAATATACTATACTACTTCAGACCTTGGCAGAAAGCTACAATGGTGAAAAATATGAACAGAACAATTGAAAATCTGCAGTCAAGAAAATAGTTACTGGCCTAAATTCCTGAGCTCACCAACATAGTTGTCTAGACATGTGCTGTCGGATGGGGTAGCCATTAGCCATGTGTGGCTATTGAAATTTAAACTAATTAACATTAAATAAAATTAAAAATTCAGTTTCTTAGTTGCAAAAGCCACATTTCAAGTGCTCAACAGCCACATATAACTAGTGACTATTGGAGAACAGTTTCATCATCATGGAAAATTCTATTGGATAGAACTGGTCTAGACTCTAAGCTCCTTTAAGACAAAAGAAAAACATGTCTTAACTTCTTAATTCCTTTTCCAGCATCTATTTAATATCTATTGAGTGCTTATCATACATTAGGTAATGCTCTTATTTCATGTGTATCCCACGATTTAATGCTCACAGCAACCCTATGAGATAGGTTTTTACTATGCCTGTTTGATAGAAGAGAAACTGGGGTTACAGGTACATAGCTGCCCATGTAGCTAGAACAGAGCAGAGCTGCAGTTCCAACCCGGGTGTAGAGCTTGTATTCCTAAGAACTAAGCCAGAGTCAAAGCTTAAGACTCACTGTTAAATGTTATTTTTGCTGCTGCAGTATAATAGTCTCAAAAGGCATAAAATTATATCCTCTGGCTTGTAGGCAAATAATGGCAAAACTGAGTTTCACCTTGTGGTGTCCTGATGGACCAGAGAAAAAGGCTCTGTGCATTTTCTCTCTGCTTTCACTGCAGAGATGGTACCTAGGGAAAGGTGGTTATGCTAACATTCCACTGGGAACCTCTACCACAGATTTCCTTTTTTTAGTTTTGCCCATTAATTCAATCACATTTAGAAAATTAATGAATCTTTATCCTACCCTTTCCTTTTACTCCTAAACCTCTTCTGAGTTTTCCCTTTTCATCCTAGAATAATATCTTATTCTACATAACACACAGGAAATTTGCTGCATGCCCTTCTGTTCTGACCATCACTAACCTATGTGTTTTCTTTTATTTAAGATTTTATTTATTTGACAGAGAGAAAGCACAAGCAGGGGGAGTGGCATGCAGAGGGAGAGGGAGAAGCAGGCTCTCTGCCAATCAAGAAGCCTAATGTGGAGCTCGATCTCTGGACCCTGGGATCATGACCAGAGCTGAAGGCAGAAGCGTAACCGACTGAGCCACCCAGGCACCCCAACCTACATGTTTTCTTGATTTTAAAATCTCTTTTAGTTAAAGGGTATACTTAAATGTTAATGTACCACAAGAAACCCTCTCTCTAAGCAATAGAAGACAATTGATGCAGTGTTAAGATATGTATGTATTTATTTATTTACTTATTCATAAAGCTTTTATTTTTAAATAATCTCTATACCCAATGTGGGGCTCAAACTCACAACCCTGAGATCAAGAATCACACATTCCACTGTCTGAGCTGGCCAGGTGCCCCCAGTGTTAAGGAATTTATGATCAAAGGAGCATGCTTGCTCTTTCACTGTCCAGGTATCACTTTTACTTCTTAACTTGCCCCAGGTAATTTATGAACAAGCTTGAAAAAATTCCAGCCAGCCAGTACAGAGCCAGGACACTTGCAGAAAGAGTCCCCTGATGGTTTTAGTTTTATGTTCCTGGAAACTTCCAGTAGCCCAGATAAAATATAAGATGCCCTGTTACAGCTGAATTTCAGATAAACAACAAATAATTTTTTAGTATGTATGGGGCATACTTACACTGAAAAATTATACCCTGTTTATCTGAAATTCAAATTCAAGCTGGACATACCATATTGTCATACAATCTATGTTTACTCACTACATAAAACATAGATACTATCTTTCCTTGGGCCACTCCTCCTCTAAAGAACTTGGGGAACCTCGTTCACCATCCTGGAAGACTGATAGGGCAACGAAAAGATAGGGCAGACATTGTGTTGTCTGTTTTATGGACAATGACTTCATGACTGACCTAATTGTACTTGACACATAAGCTGAAGCAAACAACAGGAATCATTCTACTTGGTCTTCTGGTACCCTAAAGAAATAAATGCAGAGCCTTCTTGCAAGGTCATAAACAGTTGAGTTAGAGGCATGTATCTTATCTATAATCAGGTAGGAAAAGCAAGTCTATAAATATTCTAAAGCTCCCTAGAATATTTACAGATGTAAATTTACATCTTTGTAAATTTACAAAGATAGTTATCTTTGTCCTTTCTGCTAGGCCACAAGAGGATGCTGGGAGCAGCGTGAGTTCTTCTTCATTACATGCCATTTTTAATCACACTCAGGCCGAGGGAAGGGCAGTCACCAACCTACAGGAAACACTAGGAAGGCCTGATGGTGAAAAGAGGAAGCTGTGACAAGAGGGGTATGTGGAATACAGTGTCTTCGGCACTAGCCAGGGATGCCGCTTTCCCACTGGACCTTCTCCCATTCCAGAGAATGAGCCCCTGGCTCCTCAGCCCTGGGTCTTATCCAACTAGCCATCACTCACTCCAGAAATACTTACTAAATACCTACCATGTGCAAGGTCCTGGTTTCAGTGTTAGGATACAGAGGACAGAACAGACAAAATCCATGCTTTCGTGGAGCTTGTGTTATTATGGTTCAGAATTCTTATTGGTTTCCTACTAAGCATTTTCTAAACACTTCACCTTGATCTTTTTCACCTCCCCCCCCGCCCATATTTCTCTACTCTGTTTTCTTTCTCTCTTATTTTATACAGCTGACTGTGTGGAAGAATGGAAGCAAGATTTTCATTGGTTTCTAATTTTCTCACAATTGCCATTTTATTTTTTTAAGGGACATTATAATCTAAATTAAATCTAAGTTAAAACCTGAAAAGCCAAATTCTTAAATATGGACTCCTAGACCTTTCAATATGGCATCCAAAAAAAGAAAGAAAAAGGAAAGCAGCGCTGTATATGACTTACCAATTCTGTAAATCAGAACTTTGCTGCCAGTGGGGTCTCTGGCTCGCAGGACTCCAAGATAACCAGCCTTCAGAAGACCAAGAATACTTCGAGGGCACAGATCTGCACTTATTTCTGGACATTCTGCTCTCCACTTATAATAGTTTTTCAGTAACTGGAAAATAAAATAAAAATTGTCTACGTAGGGCATACATGGTAAGCACTTATAAAAACGGAAGCAAAGCTCTGGCATTATGAAGGGCCCTTACCATCCGTTATGTCAGGATTTTAATCTGGGGTATTTTTCTTTCTTTCCTTTTTTTTTTTTTTTTTTTTAGTTGTAAAATCTTAAGTTCCCTTCAGCAAGGATCTCAGGTGCTAAGACTTCATCACAAATTCAAAGCTGAGTAATTTTGATTTGTCCCCTATGGTTGGTAGTCTCCAAAGATAGCTACCAATAATACCTCCCCTCCTGGTAGACACACGCCATTCGTCCCGTTATAGATGGGATCCACTTGATTCCTCCCCTCAGAATCTGGGCCGGCCTTACATTTTGCTTCAGCAGAAGTGACACTTAGCTAGTGTAGGAAGGCTGGGACTTTCTGCGTTTGCTTTTGGGGACCCAGAAACCACCTAAGAATAAGATTACTAATTAGTCTGTGTGGAAAGAGGCACTGGACAACCAGAGCCCATCTTAGTCTGGTCTCTGCCAAGTTCCCATCTGATGCAATGTGGATCACAGATGAGCCATCCCCACTCAGCCCTGACCAAATGAAAGAATCACAGACAAATAAATAGTTGTGGTTTAAGCCACTAAATTTGGGGGTGATTTGTTACTCGCTAATAGAAAACAGAAACATCCACCTTTAGTCCGTTCTGAAATAAGGAAAAATAGAAATCAAATAAATTAGCTCTACAAATATTTTTGGAGCATCTACAATGTTCTATACACTGGGTAGGCACTTGGGTTACAGCCATGAGCAGAATAAAATGCCTGCTCTCATTGGGGCTGACCCGCTGGTGACAACTAGGTCACCCAGGCCATGTTACGTAATGAAAAGTTAAATCACCAGGCTGCTTCGTCAGAAAAGCCTTGACTCTACCACATAATCACCTGTGTGATGCTGGGTAAATATTTAACTCCTTTGTGTCTTATTTCCCCCCTATCTGCCTTGTGGGGTTAAACATAAAGCATCCCTGGGCATAATGAGTGGTAGTTACCACTGCTATTGCTGTAATAGGAAGGTTATTTGGGTTTATTGCTCATCTGTGTATCTTAGCGCAGGTTTATGTTGAGGAGAACTTGAATTTTTTTGGTTTCATTTTCTTTCCTACAAAAAAGAGTTAAATCAAAGATGCAAAAGAACGTCTCTGTACCATTGCTATACTTTCTACTAATAGGAAAACAACAGAAATCAACTTTGTTAGTTGTGGTATGCATTCCGAGTGGAACAGTATGCCTGGATAGTAGGTCTTGGTAAAGTATGGTCTGAAGGAATCCTGTTGTCTTTTCATTCTAAAAGAACCACTAATAATGGTTACTCTGCACTTACATGTAATACAGATATTGCCAGTATCTTGGAGAATACTAAAATCAAATTATGCATTTAAAGTCTATTATGGTTTAATTTTCCTTTTCAAAATATTTAGCATGCTCAATATTTGTAACATGACAATATGTTTGAGGGGTTTTTTTGTTTTGTTTTAAAGATTTATTTAATTATTTTGAGAGAGAGAGCATAAGCAAGAGGGAGGGGCAGAGGGAGAAGGAAAGAGAATCTCCAGCAAACTCCACACTAAGGGCAGAGCCTGAGGGAGTCCTCCATCTCACAGTCCTGAGATAAAGACCTGAGCTGAAACCAGTGTCAGACGCTTAACCGACAATGCCATCCAGGTGCCCCAACAATATGTCTATGTTGAGTTCAAAGAGGTCTACTAGTGGGGCGCCTGGGTGGCTCAGTGGGTTAAAGCCTCTGCCTTCGGCTCAGGTCATGATCCCAGGTCCTGGGATGGAGCCCTGTATCAGGCTCTGTGCTCAGTGGGGAGCCTGTTTCCTCTTCTCTCTCTCTCTCTCTCTGTCTACTTGTAATCTCTGCTTGTCAAATAAATAAATAAAATCTTTAAAAAAAAAAAAAGAGGTCTACTAGCAATGGGGAATGGAAGTTTAGATGAAAGGAAGGGATGAATTTCATATTTGAGACTCACTGAAATAAACATGACAGGTGTAATCACAAAGTAGTAATGACCCGGAGGAGAAACTACAAATACAAATTTTAAAAGGCAAGCAGAAGGTGAAATTCCAAACGTGGGACACCGGTAATGGCCTGAAGAAAGAGAAAAGCTGACTGGACTGGAGGAGCAGTGACACCATGGTGCGCAGAAGGGAGGAAAAAGTTATTTGTGCCGCCTGCCCCCTCTCTTCTCTCTCTCCCCAATGTTGTCTTTCTAACTTTCTCTATATCTGTTTTTTCCCTCTCATTTCTTCATTTAATAAACTTCTCTGAACTCTTTTTAAAAAGAGAATGTTGCCATGGGTTAAATAAAACTGCAAGGTAGGAAAGAAAAAAGTCCCTATATTAGCCAACAAAGAAATAATTGGTGACCTAAATAGCAATTTCCAAAAGGAGAAAGAACAAAAGGCACATTGTAGATTCTGATATATTCATTCTACTCTATGAGTTTCTCTTCCTCCTCCTCCTGTCTTAGAGGGCATCAGAATAAGTGTTAAAAGAATGTTACAGTGCTCATTACTTTGATAGTTCCCTCAGATATCAAAAGTCTTTTTAATTCTGATTCAAGCAAAACGCTAGAAGCAGCATATTAGCTCTTATATAAAAGTGACGATTTTAATTTCCCATGGAATCATACAAGTCGGAGCTTCATTAAAAGGGATCTTTTAGGTGACAAGCGGGGTCCTAAGCTTATTCATCTCTGCAGAATGCTGGGCACCCAGGAGATAGGTACAAGTATTGAATGAAAGAATAAACTAACGCATGAGTAAACCAGTCAAATTCACATACTTGAAAAACTGACTTTTTCTTAAAGACGCACAAATCACTCTCCCGCCTTTGACATTTAACTTTCGCAAATTGAAATACCTAAACCTGGATCTTTGATCATTACGTTTCTGCAGGCAAATAAACTCAAAATTTGGCTGACATAAATAAGTTATATAAATGACATAAATTGCTATTGAGCAATTCTCAAATCATCAAAAGTCCACAACTACAAAAAAAATTGGCAGCAAGGGAACATTCTTTACTGGAAGGCACCTGTTTTTGCCATAGTTAGGAATAAATAAATGTAAAAAGTTAGGATTTGTTTTAATTATGCTTTGTAATAGAGTCAGTTTCTTCTCACATTTTTCATGTACTTTCAAACAAAATAGCAACTATAGCTGTGCTGCCTTTACAGGGTTTAACGGCGCCATTTCAATTCCTTCTCACAGCCAGTCTGAGAGGTAACAATTGTTACTCCATTTTATGGATAAGACTACTAAAGGTCAGAGAAGTTACACATTTGTTTAAGGGCAGTAACTCTCAGGAGCAGGGTCACTGGGACTGACAGGTGATATGATCAATTTTACACTGAAACTGACACAGTCACTGAAACTGACATGTGATAGGATAATTTTACAAAAGAAGCTACAGGAAGAGTCAGATTTTTTAAAGCTTCCAAGACTTCAGGGAAACTGTAAAAATAATTAAAGGATTAAAAAAACAAAAAACAAAAAAACTCGCCACATGGAGCAAAAACATAGGGAACTGAACTAGTCACTTATAAAAGACAGATATTCACAGGAATCTGTAGGACACACTGAGGTTAACATTGGCAGTTTTATGTTCATTGTTTTGAATGGAAGAAGCAAGTACAGTATACTTGTGAGCACAGGCTTTGCAGAGTTCAACCTAAGTTCAAATCCCTCCTTTACCACTTATTACCTGATTTTGGACTAGAAACCGCATCTCAGTTTCTTCTAAAATGAGATAATAATTAGCTAATCCACGCAAACACTATTTACCCAATAATTGGTGCTCTATAAACTTTTAGAATCATAAAAACTTCATTAATTCACTATAACTTCAAATACAAAAACTAGAATAATGAGAAATTACATTGTAACTGAGGGGCTTATCAAGCTTTCTTCACATACTAAATCTCTAGGGCTTTTCTATTATAAATAAGGGAGTTTGAGTTGAATTATTTGCCTTTATGGAGGAAATTGAAAAAAAAAATAGTTTCACACTCTAAGCCTTTCCTTTTCCTTTCCACTTGGCAGGAAAGTAAGGCAAAGAGTTCACAGACAGAAACTTGATCCCTATCCAGGGGATTTAGACAGTCTTGCTAGCCAATTCCTCAAGGACATGGTGAAATGAAAACAATTCAGGAAAACAAAGAATACAGAAAACAATATATATATAACAGCTTCTGGAAGTAAATTTTATTCCTTCTTGTGTTTAGACATTTCTTTTGAAAAGCAGCTGAAATGAAAGCAGCAAATCACACGCTTTTTTATTATTAGTGATCTCTACACATTAATATGTTTCATTTAAACTGCACTCCTCATAGCACCTAAGATTGTCTTTATATTCAGTAGTTGCTGAGTAAATATTAGTTTATTACCCATGATGCTGGGATACCTGAGTAACTATTTGACAAAACAAAAATAAAGCCAGATTCCTATTTCATTCCTAACATCAAAATAAATCTCAGTAGGTTAGCAACTTCAACATTCAAAAGAGAAGTCATAAATTACTAGAGAAAATATTGGAGAAGAGAAAAGCTTTTAAAACAATCAGAAACCATCAAAGAACAATCTAATCGATATATGTGATTACATAAAAATGTTTAAATTCTGCACAGAAAAAAAAACAGTACAAACAATGTCAAAAGATATCAAACTAGGGCAGTCTTATTTAATACATAAAGATACTTTATGAATAAAAATGTATATGTATATTTTTGTGAACAAAATGCAAGAAAATTAACGAATGGTAAAAACAGCTAACTGGAAAATAATTTAAAATATATTTTAAAAAATATGGAAGATGATTAACCTCACTTATAATTAAACAATTAAACAAATGCATATTGTAATGAGAACTAATTTCTTGCCAAGCGGGTTGACACAGATCATAAGGTTTGATAGTACAGTGTAGGTGATAATATGGGGAAAAGGCACAATTTTGTAATACAAAAGTGATAAAATTAGTGCAAACACTTTGAAGGAGAGTTATATTCATCACCCCTGAAAATGCATACCTCACTTCCTCCAGGAACTTCACAGGTTGAACTTATAAGGATATAATCCTATTTTTGCACAGAGACAAATGTATACATACTATAATATCTAGTCAGTAATAGAAGAAGCCCCACTTGTTTTGTTTGCTGTATCTTGCATACTGCCAGGCAAATTTTAAGAGTTCAAAAAATAATCATTGAACGAAGGAATGAACAGCATATATGGGCATTGCCATTGGTGAGGATAACTCTTCTATCTAATAATGGGGGACTGGTTAATACATTTTGATATAATAAATCCACACACTGGAATAGTACACACACACCCCAAAAAGAATAAGATGTATGCCCACATGCTGGACTAAGCTCATCTCTATGATAAATTAGGTAAAAACAAAAAACAGATAAACAAGGCCAAATGTAAAACACATACATATGCTTGTGTGAACACAGACTAATCTAGAAAGATCAACAGGTACAGTAATTGCTTCTGGGTAGATAACCAGCAAAATGGGGTGGTTTGGGGTGGGGAACTTCTCTCCTTTATTAAGTTCTTTTAGAAATTTACTTTGCACCCTTTACTGTTTATGATTTTTTTCATCACTCACGCTCTTCATTTTTTCGATTAAAAGTCAGTTAACGGCATCAACAAAACTCAAACTAGGTCGTGTTGCTCTTCTGCACTATTCTACCTCCCCTGCCTCCCACCTCCTAATATGACACTGCGTAAGGCAGTTGGTAGAAGGGCTAGATCAGGTTCAATGGCTGAGTGCTTACTATATATATCATCAGGCTCTGTACTGGGTTTGCCTTGTTCTGTTAAATTGGTGAATGCTCAAGCCTCGAAATCAGTGGGGTAGGTAGGCTTTCTCACCATTACTTAACAGAGCAGGATGCTCAGCCCAAAGGGACAGAACTCAAGGTTACATCCATCTTTTTTGATTCCTGTCTTCCCACCGCCCCTTCTTCAACCATCTGTACCATACCTGGAAACACAAAAGAACCATCTCGTCTCACACCTTTGCACTCAAAATATTCTGGACCGCTTCACCGTCCCGACACTTACGTATTATTCTTAACAATGGCACTATTTCGCTAGAATTTGGCTTCAGAGCTTCAGTTTTTCTGGCAACTCCGTTTTCCCCACCACACGTGGAATGATCTGCTACGACGTGATAAATCTGGGTTTCCTACTTCGCAGCTGTCACTTTGTTTCATATCACTGGCTTTGGGCCAGGGACAGGAAAAGGGATCCTCCGCCCCCCACCCCCAAACTGGATAGGTTCGGGAGATGCATCCAGAGCATAGTTCCAGTGTTTGGGGTCAACTGGGCCATCACCCCAGAGCGCTTCAGCTTTTTCCAGGTTTCGCGTTTCCATGACTCAGAGAAACTGGAAGGACCGGCGCGGGATTTCTCAGAACACCTGCAGCCACCGCCCACCGCCCGATGCGTTAGGGGCGCGCACCCTCCCCAGGTTCGGCAGGCAACTCGGCATTTCACAGAGGTCTGGCCATGCCTCTGGTCCCCAGCCCTGCCCGCGCGCGGGGAAAATGCCGCGGGGAAGCGCGCTTACCCGCCAGGCCAGGTCGAGGTCGAAGTCCCGGGCGCGCAGGAACCGCAGCAGGAAGGAGTCGGTGAGTGGCAGAGGCGTCGGCGGAGCGCCCGCCGCCCGGGCCCGACGCCGCAGCTCCGCCAGGCTGGGCTGCAGCAGCGGGGAGTGGTCGGGCAGCGCGCTGAGCTGCAGCCCCGCCGCCGTTCCCGGCCGCATCTCTGCCATGCCGGTCCCGCGCTGTCCGCCGCCCTCATCGGGGCGCTGGGGAAAAGCGGGGACTCCGCGCCACCCTCCGGCCCCTCCTCCGGTGGAGGCTGCCCAGCGCACACCCCCGCTCCCGCCCCGCCGGGCCCCGACCCGCCTCTCACACCCGCGAGTGGGTGGGCGGGCGCCTGAAGCCACGTGGGATCCCCACGGTGCTACTCCTTCTGGAAACCCTGGGTGGCTAAGCCGAGCCTTTCTTTCTCCGGTTGAGGGAAGTCCTGGTGTTCACTGCCAAGGGGAAGATGTCAGAAAGTTTGTTTGCCTACACTGATAGAGATTAGTTGGGGCATTTTTCACACACACACACACACACACACACACTCTCTCTCTCTCTCTCTCTTTCTCTCTCTCTCTCTCTCTCTGTCTCTGCTAGAAAAATTGTTTCTTTTTCTCCCCAGCCCCCCTTTCCTCTCTCTCTTCCTCCCTCCCTCCTTCCCTTCCTTCCTTCCTTCCCTCCTTCCGTTTTTCATCTTGAAGCTGCCAGGAGTCTTAAGAAAACCTTTTAATGGCACTGTGGCCCACTCATTACTGAGCACTCCTTACCCTTATTAATGCTCCAAGCTGACTTCCCACCGCAAACTATTGCCACGGTGGCTTCTAAAATACACATTCCATAACGCCACCTTAAAAACTCAATAGTCTCGGCCCCTTCCTCCGAATTCAGACAGTCTTCTCAGTTGACATTTTATCCTGTTAGTGGCATATACAAATGAAAGTTTAGCGAGTGCCCCCCCAAAAGAAGAAAAAGAAAAGAAAAGAAAGAAAGGTTGTAAACACCATGTACTACCTCCATTACCATGTACCACTGTGTCTAGTCTTTTGACTGACACTCTAAAGATGTATGGCCTCATCTAAGTCATCCCAGGTAATGAGGAATCAGGGAAATGATGTGGAAACCAGAAGGGATGTTAAATTGGGCTTTTCTCTACCCAGTGCAGCTATCCTAGAATTGACCTGGGTCCCCCCGGGAATCCATGGGACTAATTCTTACTAACTCTTAAATATGTAACCATGTGCCAGGTAAATGCTAGAATTGCACAAACAAATAAAACCAAATCTTTGCCTTTAAGAGAGTGGTGGAGAGACTGGCCCCTTCCCTCCTTAAAAAAATAGTTACCGAGTTGCTACTGTTTCCAGACTTTGTTCAAAGTGCAGAGGGTACACCTATAAACAAAACAGGTAGAAACACCTGTCTTCAGGGACTGCTCATTCTTGTGGAGGGAGACAGGCAATAAACAAGACAAAAAATTGATGAAATATGACATGAGAGATGGCGATCAGTGCCATGGGGAAACAAAAAGTGATGAAAGGGGATAGCACCAGCAGGGACGCAGTGATGTTTGAATGAACACCCAGAAGAGGAGAGGAAGGGGTAGATCATGAGAGGCTTTACTCAGAGCTCTGAAATAGCAATATAAGGAAAACCAGTCTTCTCTAGTAGTTTAAAGTGTTTAAAACTGAATTAAGAGCATATATACAGTATGTTCTTTTCCAAAATTTTTTCAACACATTTTTCTACTTGTTCTTAGAAATCAGCATCTGCTTTTTTGAAAGTGGGCAGAAAGTTCAGCTAGAGATAATGAAGACTAACTTCTTTCACAGTGAGGGAGGAAGGCCAATTGAAACTATCAGGTAGGACAGAATGTACATGTTCTTATACAAGAGTTACCTGTCACTGGTATCACTTATGTACAATGTACAAAGTTGGGACACCGCTCAGATAAAATCAGAATCTAGTAATGCAGAGGGTGTCGTCTGGAGTCTACACGGTGCATAATTTTTCACTGGAGCACAGATTTTTCCTACATTGTTTGAGAAACCTTATTTTAAATTTTTCAATGTAATATTTATCATGGAAAATTTTGCAGATTGAGACGATAGTGGTATTAATGGACTACCTGCTTCAGGAATCGGTGCCATTTTGCCAGTCTTTTGTCTGCCTCTTTCACTTTTTTAATGAGCTGAAATATTTTTTTAAAGATTTTATTTATTTATTTGAGAGAGAGCCTGAGCAGGGGGAGGGGCAGAAGGAGAGGGAGAAGCAGACTCTCTGCTGAATGTGGGCTCCATCCCAGGACTCTGGGATCATGACCAGAGCCAAAGGCCAACACTTTTAGGGCCACCCAGAAGCCCCTAAACTGAAATATTTTAAAGAATACTTACAGATCATTTTTTTGCTGATAAATACTTTAATGTGCATGTTTTCTTTCTTCCTTTTTTCTTTTTACTACAATACCTTTTTTCACACTAGAGTTCCACAATAGCATCTAATACCCAGTGCTGAATATTTTCCATTTCCATCTCAGATGTGCAGTCTCCATTCCTCTCTCCCATTTGTGTGGCATGAGGCTGACTAATTGATTTCCCCAATATGCTCCTTGCCCTCTGGCTCCCAGTTCTGTTTGACAGTAGGCACCAACCAGAGATGGGGAGAGTTTGAGGTCAAGGTCTTATTCCCTCAGCTCCCTTCCCATGGGGTTGCAACAAATCAGCTGCACCCTTTATTGAAGGCCACCATGCCTTTGAGGCAGCCCTTTCTAACCCCTGCAGCTACTCCCTCTGAGTTTCCAAAACTACCCACTCCTTGTCCATTCAGGTCCATATTTGTTTGCTAGGGCTGCTGAAACAAAGTCCCACAACCAGTTGGATGAAATGATAGAAACTGATTCTCCCAGTTCTGGAGGTAGAAGTCCCAAATCCAAGTGTAGTCAGGATTGGTTGCTTGTTGGGAGGCTCTGAGGGAGAATCTGTTTCATGCTTCTTTCTAGCGTCAGGTCCTTGCAACAGTCTTTGGTATTCCTGCTTTGTAGCTGCATTGCTCCCGTGTCTGCCTCCAGGATTCCGTGGCCATCTCCCTGACCTCTCTGGGTTTGCGTCTTGATGCTTTCTTCTCAGAAGGACACCAGTCACACTGGGTTAGATTGGACCCTAAGCGAGTATGATCTCATCTTAACTTGACTGTATCTACAAAGACTCTATTTCCAAATCAGTTGATATTCTGAGATTCTAGAAGGACGTGAATTTTGGGCAGAAACCAACCTGGTACAAAATCTAAGGGTGGTAGTGATTTGTGTTCCCCATCATCCCATTGTTATAAACAGCCCCTTTTATTAAGTTTTCCTAAATTGTCGAACAGGAGTATGCCACCTGTTTCTGGTCAGAACCCTATCTACCTAACCAGTCTTGAACATTAAGATGATCAAGATCTCTGGACTGCATTATATAAGAAGCGAGGGGAGTTTGCGCAACTGTGAAGATCGCAATCCTTTGCAAAGGCAAACTGGGTCTGATTATCCTCACTGATAAAAATTGGAGAGCCTGTTTTTAATGTCAATAGCACAATGTTTTTTTGCTCCAGTTAAGATAGCACATTGAGAACCTTAGCTAAAATTGGCATCACCACCTGACTGAGTTTGCAATAACCCACAGTCATATTCTAATACTCATTTGGCTTTTGCTGACTAAAGGAGTTAAGTTAAATAGCTCCAGCCTCTGCAGGTGCCCAGAGATGTGGGACTGCTTTTGTTTGACTGTCTAGAGGATACCAGAACAAGGGCAGTGGAGGGGTGGGGGAAAGCAAGGTGGTCAGTTTCAAGGGCCTCTATTTGCTTTTTCTACTATAATAGCACTTACTCCACCAGTTGTAAACAATATGGGGATTCTGCCAGGCACTAAATATGTTTAACTGCATTATATATTCTGTGAAGGAAGGAAATGACCAGAGGCTCAGTCTTCTATTTTATCAGATCCACTGTTAAATGGACCCGGGTGAAGACTTCACCTATCTCCTGATCTCCATAAGCCCCATTCTGACTGGAGACCATGAAGGTGGTATTTGGGAGCTCTGGGCATTACCTTCATAATGTCTGGTAACCCTCAAATACAGTAAGTATTTCCTTTTCCCCTTGCTCTTTTGCTCAGATAAATGGCTACAGGTACCTCTGGGCTGGACTTGGGGGAAAGATTCATACACCTTCTGCAGAATAGGAAATATCGTAAAGGACCTAGCTTCTTCCTCAATCAAGGATCCCCGCATCTGTGAAGCAGGCGCTTATATAGATGTGTAAACTGGCACTCATTTCTTCTTTTCTGAATCAGGCTTAGCATTCTTTAGCTGTGCATTAAGAATCATGTGGATTAGTAAAGTAAAAATTGTTCCCCTTGATAGGAATATTATCCTCACTTATTGTTGTCAATCATTTATTTGAAAGTGACATGTGTTAAAGCCTATAGAAAAGTTTGTTGATTTAAACAAGGACTTTTATACTCCTACTATATGTCAGGCAATATTCTAAGCTCTTTACAAATATTAACTCATTTGGGAAAGAGTATGCAATAGGAAAAAGACAGTCTTTTCAACCAATGGTGTTCAGAAAACTGGACAGCTCCATGCAGAAGTAATGTTTAGAATTGTTGAATCACTATATTATGCACCTGAAACTAATATAACATTGTATGGTAATTGTACTGGAATCAAAATGGAAAAAAAAAAAACCCAAATGTTAACTCAACTTATTTTTGCCACAATCCTACAACGTAGAGTCTATTATTCCCATGTTACTTTTAAGGAAATTCAGTAACAGAGAAGTTAAGTAACTTGCCTAACATCACACAGCTGGTAATTAATCCAGTTAAGAGTGTTTATAATTAAGACTTAATCACCATGCTATGTTTCATCCAATTTGCAATTATTTTCCTATGAATTTAAATTGTGGAAAGCAGATTATAGAATATATAATTATAGAATTGGCTGTGTCAATGAAGTCTCATTATGAGTGAAAATAAAACCATTGAGTAAATATTAAGTGTTACTAATAACCTACTTTTTCCCCAGATACTGTGCTAGATATTTTACACACATTATTTCTAATTTCACAACAGTGCTGCAATGTGGGTAATATTATACTGATTTAGAAAGGAGAAAACTGGGCCTGAAGAGGTTATTGTTGTAAAACCTGAGGCCACTTGGCTCTTAAATGCTGAGCAAGATGACTAAAGCCATTTCTTGACATGACATAACTGCCTGCCTGAGCCATTGACATATTAGGATCTGTGATCACTTAGATCATT